TATATGAGTTAAACATTTACCTCAAGTAGATACACTCCTTGGAGAGAACAATCATGGGAGAAAGAAGGGCTGCTTATGCACAGGGAGACAGCTCAGAGGGCAGGAGTGTATGGATGGATGGACACTGGGAAGAGGTAACTATGGGGAGGAAATGGGAGGGGAGCTGTTGCATTGTGGTAAACTGTCGTCAATGACATGAGACAAAGTATATGTGAACTGCTGTATGGAAAGTGAATTTTCTCTGTAAATCTTCACCCAAATCACAATAATAATAATAATAAAAAGACCAAAATGGATGTCAGAAGAGACTCTGAAACTTGCCCTTGAGCAGAGAGTAGCTAAAGCAAATGGATGAAATGACAAGATAGAAGAGGTGGACAGCAAGATTTCAAAGAGCAGCTCAAGCAGATAATGCCAGTTACTATAATGAAATGTGCAAAGACCTGAATATAGAAAACCGAAAGGGAAGAACACTGTTTGGGGTATCTAGTGCCACTATGACAGGAATACACCACAAATGGGATGGCTTGACAAACAGGAGTTTATTCTCTTACAGTTTTGAGGCTTTAAGTCTGAGTTCAAAGTGCCAGGCTCTAGGGGCTGGGTGAAAGCCCCTCAACCTTAGGCTTCAGTTTTGCCTCCTGCTCCCAGCCCACTGAAGGTGGGCTTTTCTTCACTCAGCTGCTGGCTGCCAAGGCTGACAAACCTATGGTCGACAAGTGAAAAGGCACAGTCCTGATAATTACCAAACCACAAGGCAGGCCATTAATTCAAGTCCATTAAGTCTCAAGATTGGCAGAGCATGGCAGGTTGCTAAACAATGACTCAGCTAGAAGCTGAGTTCAAGCATGCCATAAGCTAGAGACCATTCTCAAAGCTGCTTCTTATCTATAGGAAGAAGACCACATACCCAAAGCAGCTACTCAGCTGCTCCAATAGATTCCACCATGGGGTTAATTACCAATCTCACCATGGGGAACAACTACATCAGCTGCCCAGCCACTCAATCAGGCCCAGCCAAGTTGACACACAAACTTAACCACCACAAACATGCTTGGCATTTCTCAAGCTGAAAGAACTGAGGCAAAAATTCAAGCCTCGAGTTGCAATATTGAAAGATTCTATGCGCAAAATATTGAACGATGCAGGAAGCATCAAAAGTAGATGGAAGGATACATAGTCACTGTACCAAAAAAAAAAAGTGGTTGATCTTCATCCATTTCAGGAGGTGGCATATGTTCAAGAACCAATGGTACTGAAGAAAGAAGTCAAAGGTGCACTGAAGGAAGTGGTGAAGAACAAGGCTCCAGGAATTGACAGAATACCGAGATATTTCAACAAACGGATGCCCCACTGGAGGCACTCACTCGGTTATGCCAAGAGGTTTGGAAGACAGCTACCTGGCCAACTGACTGGAAGAGATCCATATTTGTACCCTTTCCAAAGGCAGGCTATCCCACAGTATGTGGAAATCATTGAACAATATCATTACTATCACACACAAGTAAAATCTTACTGAAGATAATTCAAAAACGGTTGCAGTAGTATATTGACAGAGAACTTCTCAAGGTGCAAGCTGGATTCAGAAGAGGACATGAAGCAAGGGATATCATTGCTGATGTCAGATGATCTTGGCTCAAAGCGAAGAATACCAGAAAGATGTTTACTTGTGTTTTATTGACTATGCAAAAGCATTTGATTGCATGGATCATAACAAATTGTGGATAACATTGAGAAGAATGGGAATCCCAGCACACTTAACTGTATTCATGAGGAAACTGTACACAGGCCAGGAGGCAGTGTTTGAACAGAACCAGGGGACACTGCATGGTTTAAAATCAAGAAAGGAGTGCATCAGAGTTGTATCCTTCACCATACTTATTCAAGCTGTATGCGGAGCAAATAATCCAAGAAGCTGGATTACATGAAGAAGAACGTGGCATCAGGACTGAAGGAAGGCATATTAACAACCTGCGATACACTGATGATACAACTTTGCTTGCTGAAAGTGAGGGTGACTTGAAGCACTTACTGATGAAAATTGAAGACTACAGTCTGCAGTATGGATTACAACTCAATATAAAGAAAACAAAAATCCTCACAACTGGACCTATAAACAGCATCAGGATAAATGGAGAAAAAGATTGAAATTGTCAGATTTCAATTGCTTGGTTCTACAATCGATGTCAATGGAAGTAGCAGTCAGGACATCAGATGACTCCACTGGGCAAGTTGGCTGCAAAGGACCTCTTTCAAGTGCTGAGGAGCAAAGATGTCTCCTGAGGACTAAGGTGCGCCTGACACAAGCCATGTTATTTTCAATTGCCTCATATGCATGTGAGAGCCGGACAATGAATAAGGAAGACCAAAGAGGAACTGATGCTTTTGAGTTGTGGTGCTGGCAAAGAATGCTGAAGTACCATGGACTGCCAAAAGAACCAACAAATTTGTCCTGGAGGAAGCGCAGCTGGAATGCTCCTTGGGAGTGAGAATGACCAGACTTCATCTCACATACTTTGGTGATGTTATCAGAAGGGACTATTCCCTGAAGAAGGATGTCATGCTTGGTAAGGTGAAGGGTTGACAAAAGAAAGGAAGCCCCTCAACGAGATGGATTGACACGGTGGCTACAGTGATGGGTTCAAGCACAGCAAGGACCACAGAGCTGGTGCAGGACTAGGTGGTGTTTCATTCTGCTGTACATAGGGTCGGTATGAGTCAGAGATGACTTGATAGCACCTAACCATAACAAGATGGCAAAAAAGGACTTTTTAGATGTTGTTAAGGATCTAACCTTGAGATGGAGAGGTCATCTAATCACGAGTCCTTCAAAGTAGAAAAGTGAAGCAGAAGATAGGTCAGAATAATAAGATGTGAGAAAGATCTGACAGCCATTGAAGATTGAGAAAGGGGACCCCAACCCAAGGAATGCTGGCAGTCTCTAGAAGCTGGGAAATAAAAATCAAGGAAACAGCTCCTACCCAGAGCCTACAGTAAGGAATGCAGCCCTTGCAACACCTTGATTTTAGTCCTGTGAGACCCATGTTAGACTTCTGACCTACAGAACTGTAGAATAAAAAATTTGTATTGTTTTAAGCTACTAAGTACGTGGTAAGTTTGTGTTACAGCAGCAATAGAAAACTAACACTATACCTAGTTAATAAGGTTGTTTTTCAGAACCAAATTTGTTAGCATATCCAAACAATTTATAACAATATGTAATATGTAGTCTCAGAAGGAAGATTGGGCAATTTACTTCCATAGTGATACACCTCAGAAGCCCAAGGAGGGGTTGCTATGAGTTGGATCCTACTCATCAGCAGTGAGTTTGGTTTTGTTTTTGAATATGTAGTCAACCCTTGACAAAAGGAAGCTAAGATATAGAGATATAAAAAATACTGTAAGATGGTGTAAGCAATACAATCAACGACCTGTATAGAAACTATCTCCAAAGACTTTACTTTCTAATTAAGTTTCCAGAGATAATAAATTTTAAGATTATGACAGATGTTCCTAAGAAAACTGCCTATAATGGGCAGCAAACTCATATGCTTATGTGGGCTTTGTATGTAAGAAACTAGAGAAATAGACTACATTCTATGAAATCTGCAGTTTTTAAATGTTAGAAGCCAATTAACACTTAAACACACATACACACACACACACACACACAATTTGCAGAGTAACCTGATGTCCGTAGGCCACAGTAGGACCAGAGTCCCTCAGGTTGATATGTGGCCTAATTAGTGAATACAGAGGAAGCACAAAAAGGTTATTTGTCTTTAAATGCATGTTTGGCCTTCTCACATTCTTATATCAATAAAAGCTTTTTCAGAAGTGCTTTTGGTAGCATACCTAAATCTAAGAAAATTTGACTTACAGGAAATTCTTTCATGTTAATCAGAAAGACAAGGCAAATTGTGTTCAAATTCTGTTTTATTAAAATTATTTGGCAGTCTTGGTAGCAGTACAAAATCTTTGACTGTAACCACTGGATATATTAGACATGAGTTTATGTTGGTTTGTCATGGGTTTAGACACATGTACTTTCCTAAATCTCCTAACCTTTGTTTTATTACCAAGTGGCTAAATACTTACATTTCTCTATCTACACAACCTATTTATTATTCATAGAAAAGGAATATGTAAAGTAAGATTGAAAAAATAAAATCCACAGATTCAAAATATTCTCTTCAAATATTAAGAACATATAAAGTATATTAAAGACATCTACAGTTAGTCCTCCAGGTAGCACGCGGAGCTATCTGATGTCTGTAGTTTCTTGGTTTTACTTATTGCTAATTTCAGTTCAGAGACCAAAGAGTTTCCCAAACCTATAAAAACCCACATTGACATTCTCAGTATGGTCCCAGTGGAATTAAAGGATAGAACCAGGAGAGCAGTTGATTTTGGTCTTTAAAATCACAAAGACTTTTTTCTTTGATGGGTTTTTCCTTCTGCAGTAGCTCAGGATACTATTTGCATACTTAATGCCTTATAATTAGCATCTGCCTTACAGTACCTCTAAGTATTGGCTTATTTAAGAGTATTACTGGATAGCAAATGATAGGAGGCCTTCCTGTTCAAGGCAAAACTTTCAGTGGACCATAGAGCAAAACCTCACAGGGTTTGGTGCTCCTTAGTTGTTCTCCAGTGAACCTGAAGCTGAAGTCGCCTTTATGAAAGAAAAGAAGAAAGCTGTGTAAGAATCTTTTACACAAGACCTGTAATGGTATACTACATGAATTGTGCTGCTTCTCCTGCCATGTATGAACTTGGTTATAGCAATGGAACATGGTTATTTTGTTCCAGTGATAAGAATCTCTCCTAGGAACTGGAATGAGGAAGATAAAGCACTAGCTTGAGAAAATTCTGTCTTAGCTGCTCTCAAAGGCTGTCCTAAGATTCATGAAGATGGTTTTCAGGTTCTGATTTCACGCACTGTCTATTTCTGAACATTGTGATTACTAATTAAAGGCCATTCTCCTACATGGCCAATTTATTTCACCAAAAGAGGACTGCCATAGCATATTACTATTGCTTGCCTTGATATTTTTAGGTGTTAAGTCTTGTTCCTCAAAGGGGAACATGTCATTATAGTCTATTTTTATTAATTTATGGTGTAAGTAGCATAATTACTCAAAGGAAAAGCAAACTTGGCAATTGAAACAGGCACATTACTTTAGTTATGTCATCAGAATAGGGTCACAACTTTGCAAAGGTTAACTATACAGGTTATTTTTGTTGTCCCAGCTAATAATTAGATGCATGAACATTAAGTGAGAGCAATAACTCTTATATCCAATATTTTATTGGATCTTATATTTATCTAATAAATGAAGATAAAACATTTTCTTCAGGAATAACATATTTTCAAGTTTTTTAAAAAAGTTATTTACAAAAATTTAATGTTTATTCACAAAAAAAGAAAATGTCACCCAAGTTAAAGAAAAAATTAAGATATGGCTTTCCCTCCCAGATTTAGGGTTAATCTCATTCTTCAATTCACGAATACTTAAGGTATTCAAATACCATATAAAACAGAAATACAATGCATACGGTGCAATGTGGTTAACCTACACCTAGTAAAGCATTTCAACCATGGAGAAGGAAATTATACTTACAAACGGAGTCCTGATTCCAAATTTGCTATGAAATGTCATGGTGACTTTGTTTTTATGTCCTGTTCTTTGATCAAAGGCATGGCACGTATCAAAGGGTGGACTGTACAAGTGAAGGCTCACAGCAGGTTCGGTGTGGCTGATATTCTCTACCCGATGTAAGCCAATAGAATCTAAACAATATCCAAGAGGAAGGCAGCAGCTTAGATAATAGCTGAAGAAAAAAACCTGCTAATCACCTAATAGAAATCAATTCCTATGCACATGGAAGAAACAGAAATCAGAATTAAACTTCCAGCTAAAGATGGTAAGTTATATGCATGTGTATATATATATATATGCATGTATTACCCTCTCCTCCTTCCTGAAAACTTCCTGAAAGGACAATAAAAGACTAAAAAAGGCACAAACATACAAAGGCAAAGAAAACAGGATGAAACAGTAGTCTAAATTTGAATGCTTGAAACAGAAATCTATCTACTTTGCAGAGGAGAGAACATTAAATCATAAGCCATTGGTGGGGCTGGTGAACATCAGGCCCATCAGAAAGTAATGAAAACAGGTGAACTGGTGAAAATTTACATATTGAATGGCAAGATTCCCACTTCCTTTACCACCTAGCTGCCAGAATACCGTCAAACAGGATTTTGTTCTGCCAGCAGGTGATACAGATCCTGTGAAAACAAGTTATCCCTTAGGGAGGCCCCTTTGGCTTGTGGATGACCCCTTTTGTTATTCACCTAGGTTTTTTGGTCCTCCCACCACCACCTTTTTTGGTCATGTCTCCTTTTCCTTCATGCCCATAATATATCCTTTCCCAGTCATACTGGACCTTCCTTGGTGGTATTTATGGATGCTAGTTTGGTTCAGGACCTGCCCCCCTCTTACTCATTACAATAGGCAAACTGGTCCCCTTGCCTTTATTCTCCCTTCACTTCCAAACTATACTGCACACTGCTACCAAACTGAGCAAGACATTCCAAGTTAAAACTCTGCTGACCAAAGAAAGCTCTTATTTTAAGCTGGTCTTGGAAGAAAAAGCCCTGATCTCCTTTTACTCTCCTACTATTCCCCTGCCCACTGGTGGAATTCTCACCTTCCACAATGGAAACTGGGGCTCAATTCCCAGCCAATGCACTTCATGCGCAGCCACCACCTGTCTGTCTGTCTTTACGTTTCAGCAGAACGCCAGACTGAGATGGACTAGGGGGAAAGGCCTAGCACCCTACTTCTGAAAAAATCAGCCAATGAAAACTTATGGATCATTATTGTCTGAAGTTGCCCATGGGGTAACCAAGAGTCAGGGGCTGACTAAAAGGTAGGTAACAACAACACCACTTTCCTGTCCAACCCTATTCTTCCTTCTTCCTTGTAGCTAGAACATTCCTGAATAGTTTTTACTCTTTGCAACTCTTATATGCCTTCATTCATGCTTCTCTCTGTACTTGAAACAAACATCTTTTCTCCTGATCACTACCCATATCTACCCCTACTCCTGCCATCTGTAAAAATCAAACGTTGAAAATACGGCCTTTGAGTTATATTTGTCCCTGGGTGGTGCATTAATGTTCTGCACTGCTGACCAAAAGGTTGGAGCTGTGAGTCCACCAAAGGCACCTTGGAAGAAAGGCCTACCAATCTGCTTTGAAAATCAGCCATTGAAAACCCTATGGAGCACAGTTCTATTGAGACACACATGGGGTTGCTATGAATTAGAGTTGACTCCACGGTATCTGGTTTTCCTAGTTTGGGATTATATAATTAGTCTTCACACATATTTAGTTTATCTTACCCAATATTTTATAGATGGGCACAATTTCACATAAAATTGGGAAGGAAAAAGAAATCAGGACTATCCCATTGCAGCAGAATGGTCATTGCTTCCCATCCCCGCCCCAAATCATTTATCACAATCCTCACCATAGCCTTATCTATATCTGGCCTGCACAACTCCTTACCTTACTTCATGGGCTCCTACAGATTTTTGAATTGCAGACTCTTGATAAAGCTTATCTATTCTTTAAGATCTAATCAAGTTTCACAAAGAAGCTCAGTGACTCTAACTTAAAGTAATTATTCTGAAAGCCTTTGGCTTTATTTTGAGTGATGCAGGCAACAAACTCTTGGGAATCAGGTGGGTCTTATGCCTAGTAACCTTCAAGTATTTGAGTAAATGAGTTTAAGAAGTTCACACTCTTGTGCTATCTGAATGGGGGAAACCTTTCTATATGACCTTTGTAAATTACATGCATTCCTAAACTAATGATCTAATGATACATAGCCCTAGTATCAATGCCAATATTGTACTTAAACAAAACTCAAAAGATAGCTGCTGTGCCAGAAAAAAACTATCATCCTTTATTTCATATAAGTGGGATAGCATCCCAATTCAGAGTTATGAATTTTGGGATCAAATTGCTTAGGTTCAAATCCTGGCTTCCACTTAATAGCTGCCTGATCTCAGACCAATTATTTACTCTTCCTGTGTGGGCATCCTTACCTGCGAACAGGAATAAAAGTTACTATCCCTTTTATTAGGAGCTCTGGGAGCGTAGTGCCTAAGGCATTTGACTACTAACCAGAAGGCTGGCAGTTCAAACCCACCAGCTACTCCTCGGAAGAAAGGTTGGGCAATCTACTTCCGGAGTGATAATGCCTCAGAAACCCAAGGAGGGCTCACTATGAGTCGGGTCCAACTTGATGGCACATAACAACAACCCCTTTTAGGAATACAGAAGTTACCCACTGCCTCTCCTGAAAAGGATTTGACTATCCTGCATCACATTTGGAGAAAAAAACTAAATTCTTAGTAAGATAAATCATTGCTAAATAATGAACTTTATAATATTTCCCTTGGGAATAATCTTTTAAACCTATTATATGCATAAAAAAAAGAGACTAGCTAGCATTCTGTCTCACTTCCAGACCATCTTTTAAAACATTTTCTAACACAAATTTAGTATTTCAAACTTAGCCTCACTCTTTTGTGATAATTCCTATTTGACTAACTGTCCAAGTCTTGGCAGGTAAATAACTTTTCAATGGACACTAATCTACATGCACATTGTTTATTTATTTATTTTGTGATTCCAATCCAGATGCAAAGCCTTAAGAAACAAAACCCATTGCCTTTAAGTCATTTCCAAAGTATCTGAAATCCTGACTCCATGATCCAGATTCCACTGCGCATGTGTAAGTAACCAATATTTTGGGTAAGTGTTCAAGGTCATTCCCACCTGCCCTTAAAAGAAGGTATAGAATATTACCATTGATGTAGGCACACTGATTTTCCCTCAAGATTCTTTCAGACTTCTTGGTCATCTCATTGGACTTTTTGTCAGGCCAGGCAAATAGTGTCTCCTTTAGATTCCCCTGTAGCATCTTCAGAAAGCAGTGGGAGTCGGTATGATCATGGATACTGCTATATATGCACAAAAGGATAACTGAACTCAGTAGATGGTCCATTATTCAGACCTGCAGCAACAGTCTGTTCCAGAGCTTACAGCTGTACCACTGGCAACTGGACATCTCTTAGGCCAAAATCCAGGTGAGCTGGATTTTTAAGACGTCATCAATTTATAACCAATGTTCTTCAAGGCAAACTAATTGAAAATAACATGCCACTCATATCAATGCATAAAAATGTCTAATTTTGATGTATAAAGATTAAGACTTTTTTTTTTAACCCTGTTATAACACTACTTTGATAAAAGAAAAAAAAAAACCTTTTTTCTTTCTGTAAGATATAGCTTCTAATAAATCACTCACTTAAGCTGAGTTAGACTTTAATTATAAAAGTACATTAGAAAATTTCAGAAAAGATAAAGATCATCTATAATAACTGTGCTACTGAGAAAAATAATAGTTAAGTTTTTTTCTTTCAAGCTGCTTCTTTTTTCTCTTTCCTTTGGGGAAAAGACTGTGTGCATGTGTGTTATATTAAAGTCCTAATATTATACTATATAGTATATAGGATGTTAATATCTTGTAGTTTTGGAGAGCATCCTACCTGTCATAATCTCTCAATACTGGTAGAAGAAAGAAAGTACATTGGATTTGGAGAAAGAAAAGGTTTATTCAAGTAATCTCTCACCTGACTGCTAACCAGAAGGTTGGTGGTTCAAACTCACCTACCACTCTGTGGAAGCAAGACTGGGCAATCAACTTCTGTAAAGATTTACTTACTGCCTTAGAAACCCATTGGGCGTTGCTATGAGTTGAAATCTACTCGATGGCAGTGGTTTTTTTTTTTTTTTTTTTTTGAGTAAACAGTATTTAAGTAGGAGTCCTAGAATGGTGCAAACTGTTAAGCACTCAATAATAACTAAAAGGTTCGCAGTTTGAGCCTAACCAGAAGTGCCTTGGAAGGTAGGACTGGAGATCTGATCTGCTTCTGCCTTTCAAGTTCACAGTCTTGAATACCCTATGGTGCAGTTGTGCTCTGCATATGTGGGGTTGCCATGAGACAGAATTGACTCAACGGCAACAAACAACAACATTTAAGTATATCCAGTAAAAAGAAAAGTGTTACTCATTAGCTGTGGGGTTGATTAAGATGTATAAACCTGTATAGTTTCTGGCATTTATTTCATATGCTGAATTCTATTAACTCATACATGTACCATAAGACCTTATTTCCTAAATCCTTATAGCCTAGTCCTATTCCTGACATATAATCGGCTTTCAAAAAATAGTGAAAGAATGAATGCTAACTCCGTTCCATACGTGTAAATAAATGTACTCGATAGAGAGGACGGGCTGACATTGTGAATTCATGTTTCCCTTCTCCCATCAAACATGGGCCTGGGTTACTTGTTTTATCATTCTCAAAAGACTGAGGAGGATCTAATTAAGAAGATAACAATACTCAGATGGTGGTAATACTCGGCAAAAAAAAGTATAAAATAAAAAATAGTTAACCAAGTTTAGAAGGATCAGTATTAGTTTAAGTTGCCTTACCCTCTAGAGGGGGAGAAAAATTAATAAGAATAGAAAGAAACATTCTGAATTTGTGAATTGCTTTTCTAGATCCAGCATCTAGATGTTTTTTGGTCTTTGGTCCCATGGCTGTTTACACACACTTCAGAGCACCACAAAGGTCAAGCTTTAGCATAATTCCATGTATATTTTAACTCCACAGAAGACAAAGAGAGATTAAGTTAAGCTGGTTACTTACCTCCTTTGATTTACTCTTCAGTTTTTGAAACTAGTTTTAATAAACACATTATTCTATTTTCTATGAGAATTTTTGCTGGGACTGAGGCCATAGTGTTAAAAAAACAATTATAAAATGAGATTTGCTAATGTTCACAAGACTTGTAGTTAGCCTGGCATTTATGTTTCGGGTGTTAGAACAGATGCTGAATAGTTGTATTACCTGCCATGCCCTTCACCCCAACACAGAATCATCAGATTAAATTTTCCATTTCCTTGATCCACAAGATTTCGCGTATACCTAAAAAGAAGGTATTTGCAAATTTGAATTTGGTTGATGAAATAAGCACTAGGGACAAATAAATGTGTCACAAAGTATCATCCATTAACAAAAGTTGATGTTTCTACCTCTAAACAATTTTGAATCTGATTTTCTAATTAGAAATCCAGCACAAATGAAAACAGTTATTTTCCTCCAGTTCATTCTGGACATTTCTGTATTTTCAATCAATTCATTTCCTAAGGTAGCTGCTCAATTTTAATTAATGGCATGAGAAAGGACAAAGGAAAAAAAGTAAATTCCATGATTCTAAGTATGGCAGCCTCAAACTGATACAGAGAAAAAAAGTTTCTCATAGAAGGTATTTGCAAAGCTCATTTCTGTTCTAGGCAAGCATGTTGCTATTGGTTTCCTCCCCCTCCATCTGTGTCACTAAACCAAGACTTGTGAAACAAAGTTTCATTAAACAGCTATTCTAGAATTTTCCTTAGTTTTACTATAGCAGCCATAAAGCATTCATAATGTAATAGGATGGGGTTTACTGAAGTACCAGAACAAAGAAGACTTATTAGGGAAGTAAATAACACTCTAAAGCTTTTACAATTAAGAGAAACCAGTAATTGGTTAAAAATAAATAGACCCAGATCAGAAAATAAACTTTAAAGTTTCTTTTGGCCCAATAGGTACTAATGACACCATCTAATCAGCAAACTTTGATAACTAATGATATACATTTAAATTGCCATTTTTAAGGAAAGTGATTTTACCCCATTTTTTGGAATGTTCATTGACATGGACATCTGTTTATGTGGTGTTTGTCCTTTCCTCCCTTTTTCCACCTGGCTCTGGGCCAGGTGCTTGCACAGCATTATATCTGAGGGAGTTGCTTTTTAGTTGTCAGTCTTACTTGGTACCCTTTTATGACTTAGCAGGGGGCTGTGCACATGGCCTTTATTCATCCTACACCTATCTCCCTCCCCTAGTTGTTCTGTTTTCCTCTTGCTTTTCTGGTGCTCTCCCAGAGAATTTGTTATCTGGCCCACAGGGGGTTGTTCCACATAGGCCCTCCCAAGGGCAGAGATTAGAATCCTTCACAGTGTTCCAAAGCTACACACACACACAAATCCCTCAAGCACTCCAATGCAAAATGCAAAACATATAATTTGATGGTATTCTATGCAGAAAATACCATCAGATTGATTTCTACTCCCCCAAACTGCCACACAGGACTACACTCATCATTTCAATGAGCTATACCTCAAAATACCTTTGGAATAGATAAATCTTTATTATTGGTTGTATTTTAAAAGGCTTAGAGTTTGTTAATTAAGACTAATTCAACCAAAACAAAAACCAAACTCATTGCCTTTAAGTTGATCCTGACTCATAGTTCCTTACAGGACGGAATAGAACCGACTTACAGGATTTCCAAGGCTGTGGTGGCATAGTGCCTAAGGCATTTGACTGCTAATTAGAAGTCTGGCGGTTTGAACCCACCAGCCACTCCATGGAAGGAAGACTGGGCAATCTAATTCCATAAAGATTTACTGCCTCAGACACCCAAAGGGGGTCCCTATGATTCGGAATTGACTCGATGGCAATGAGTTTGTGCTTTCTTTTATTTTTTTCAATCTTTGTGGAAGCAGACTGCTACAAATTTCTTCCAAGGAGCAGCTGGTAGGTTCTAACTGTCATGCTGGGTTTGAACAATTACCTTTTTGGTTAGCAGTCAAATGGTAAACCACAGTGCCACCAGGAAATTCTAGACTAATTCAAGGACCTTAAAAATGTTCTTGTTGGAAAGAATGAGAGGTTACAGCTTATCCTAGTTAACTGATTTCCCTTGGTATCTGTTGATATTAGCTGCTATCTACTTGATGTCCAATTCATGGTGACCCCATATACAATGAGATAAGACCATTGTGGTCCACAGGGTTTGCACTGGCTGATTTTGGAAGTACATCACCAGGTCTTTCTTACTTTGTCTTAGTCTGGAAACTCCACTGAAACCTGTTCAACATCATAGTAACATGCAAGCCTCCACTGACACAGGGGTGGTGCTACACTTGAGGTATATTGGTGGGTGTGGTAGTTAAATTTTTATGTCAACTTGGCTGGGCCTGGTTGAGTGGCTGGGCAGCTGGTGGCAGTTATTCCCCATTATGAGACTGGCAATCAACTCCATGGTGGGATCTACCACAAGCAGCTGAGTAACTGCCTTTGGGATGTGGTCTGCTTCCTATATATAAGGAGAAGCTTTGGGATAGTCTTCAGTTTATGGCACACTTGGACCCTGCATTGAGCCGTGTCATTGCTCAGCAGCCTGCCATGTTCTGCTGATCTTGGGACTCTCGATGGACTTGAATCAATGGCCTGCTGTGTAGTTTGGTAACAGCAGGACTGTGCCATTTTATTTGTTGACCTTGGGCTTGTTAGCCTCAGTAGCCAGTAGCTGCCTGAGTAAAAAGATGCCTCTAGCTTCAGAGGGCTGGGAGCAAGAGGCAGAGCTGAAGCCCAAGGTTGAGGGGCTTTCACATAGCTCCTAGAGCCTGGCACTTTGAACTCGGACTTAAAGCCTCCAAATAGTAAGAATAAACTCCTGTTTGTTAAGGCCATTCCATTTGTGGTATGTTCCTGTTGAGCGGCACTAGGTAACCAGAACAGTGGGGTATCAAATCTGGGTCTCCCACATGGGAAGGGAGAACAAACCATCACTTCCTCAAAATAATGTATCTAATCAGAAGAAAACTGTTATGGTAAAATATGTCTGTAGGAAATCCAGTAGTAGATTAGAATGTGGGTTCCAGAACTACATTGCTGGATTAGAATCCTAGAACTGATATTGATGCAAGTATGACTTTAGGCAGGTTATCCAATCACTTCTTTGCTTACCATTCCTCATCTGTCAAACAGGGATAAGCATGGTACCTACCACAGAAGTTTGTTGTGAGGTAAATAAATTAATACATGTAAAGTGCTTGGAGTCCTGGCCCATAGAAGGTACTCCATTAACTGGAGCTACCTGCTAATCTCCTTTAGAAAATCAGCCATTGAAACCCTGTGGAGTACAGTTCTACTTTGACAAGCATGAGGTTACCATGAGTTGAAATTGACTCGATGGCCACTTCTTTAATACAAGCAAAACTAAACAACAACTAGACTCTCAAGTAGCTTTACTGATAGCAACAGAAGAACCATACCATGAACTGAATTGATGGGAACTAAAGGAATTTCTGGGAGCTCTGGTAGCATAGTGCCTAAGGCACTTGACTGCTAACCAGAAGGCTAGTGGTTCAAACTCACCAGCCACTCCTTGGAAGGAAGATGGGGCAATCTACTTCCATAGTGATACTGTCTCGGAAACCCAAGGAGGGGTCACTATGAGTCAGGTCTGACTCGATGGCACATAACAACAACAAAGGAATTTCTTAGACCCATGTTCAAAAGGGAAATGAAATACTAAGTAGGCTTCACTTTCTCCATTTCAAATCCTGAAATACAGCTGAAACAGTCTTTGCCCACAAAACTTTATCAAACACACTTGGCACTGGGTGTTAAGGTGTAGTGACTAACAGGAACTGTTCCCAAGGAAAACAAGGTACTTCATTCTTTCTCCTTTAACTACCATCACCACCACCTTTTCCCTACCTCTCAACTAACCAAAAAGACTGAAGCTCTGGTTGCTCTTTGGAAAATCGTAATGTATCATCCTTCACGATGATTAAATTTTACTTCTGGCCCCAGAGAATTGGTAGCGAGAGTGACTTTTTACATAACCACTAAGTCGGGCTGCAAAGGACCTGGGTACCTCGCTTGAACATATCTGGGAAGCAGTGGTCTTTGACTTACATTTCTAGCCACAGGACTAAGGATAAGAGAAACCACGTTGTTTGGGGGCTGAACGAGAGGCAGTTGTGTGTTTAACTGGCAAATTAATTAGCGAAACCTGACGGCGGGTGTGAGAATCCACACACGGGGTGGTCGGTTAAACTGGTTTGGGAGAGGGGGCCGCAGAAATTGAAGTGTCGAATGACAACCCAAAATGGCTGTTGGGAGGTACCTAATTGAGGGCGAACAAGGACAAGTGATGGAGAACTAGCATGGGTTATTGTGTCCTCTACTTTACACTTTCCTCCCGATGGGTGATGCAGCTCTCTCCTGAGAGCACCCTCTCTTAGTTCAGACGATTCTTCAGGACGCTCAAGGGGGCCAAACCTGAATGGGTCAGCCGCAAGGGCCTCCCCATACCTCCAAGCCCCGGTCGGCGGATGGCCCACGGCGGCAAGCTAAACCCGAGCCCCGCGCGGGAAGGAAGCGAGTGCTTCCGAGACAAAGGCATTGCTCCCAAGGCCCAGTGCTGAAGGAGAAGGAGTGGCTGTTTGGCACCGGAGAGCTAGGCGGGCTAGAAATAAAACCTTGCAGCCGCGCGGTGGCCTCCCCTCGGGACGCCAGTCCGCAGTCTCCGGCCGGTGGCTGCCAAGGCCAGACACATCCACCTACCGCCTGCGTTGCGCTGCGGCTGAGGCAATCAAAGCGCCCAGCGCCAACTCCCCTGCGGGCTGGCGACTGGGCGCAGCCCTGGATGCAGATAAGGCTTGGGAGCGACGAGAGGCTGGGAACGTCGGGCGCAGGGCTCCCCTGGCACCAGGCACTGCGTCAGTGCCTCTCACACGCGCTCCTCCTTCCCCCTTCTCCGACTCGCAGAATCGTAATGCTCGGTATGGAGGCCAGCGCCCAGAGGTCCTGGGCTTATAGGCTACAGCGCGCTCACCTGTACTGGTCGAATTTGGCGTATACCGCCCACTCGGTGGGGTTGCTCTCGTAGGCTTCCATGACGGCCTGCACCTCCTCCACATTGACCTCGTCGCCAGCAAACAGCTGGTGTAGGATGCGGATCAGATCCGACAAGGTTCGTGGCTTTAGTATTTCGGTCTGCTCCATCCCGCGCGGAGCTCGCAGTGAGAGCGCGTCTCACAGTTAGGATGCCTTGGAGGCACTGAGCAAGCAAAGACGGGGGCGAGGGACCCTGGCTACCAGCTAGAAAGCTACAGACACACAGACACAAATCCCCCAAACACTCGAATGCAAAATGTAAAGAATTCCTCCCAAAGCTATGTATATATATATACACATGTATGTATATTAAAACAAACAAACAAAAAAACTACCCTACACCCCGCAGGGTGGCAGCTCTGGGCTTGCTAACGGATGCGCAGCACACACAAATCAAGACCAATTCTGCACAGAGTTCAGGCTCCCCTGCCCCTTTTAAGCTCTCGGAGTCGGCGGGAATGTACCAAAGGCCTCCGGGGTGGAGAAAAACCCGCAGCTATCAGAGAAAAGTAGTGGAGGCGGGGATAGCTTGCGGGCAAAGCCCACGCATGCAGCCCCAGGTTTCCTTAGCCCTCTGAGCCCTCTGCTTAGCCCCCTTCTCTCCTGTTGGGTTTCGTTCGCGGTGGACTTAGCGCACTCTCCCCCAACCTAAAAAGACGCATTTTGACGCCCATCCCAACTCCTCTCCCCGCGCCTCCCTCCACCTCTTCTCCTGGTCGCTGCCACTGGTTCGCGACACTGGCATGTAGACAGAGGGATTAGGAGAAGAAGGATGGGAGACGTTGAGAAAGGGAAAGGAAAGCACCTTTTTATCCACATGGAGCAGAGGAATCATGAGGACCCTGTGACGACTGAGGATGGATTCCATTCCCAAGTTGGGCAGTGTTTTGTACTCCATTCGAAGTGTCTACCGAAACTGTTGTTGTTCTGTGCCCTCGAGTCGAAGCGACCCCACCTTGGGTTTCCGAGGCAGTATCATTGCAGAAGTAGATTGACCCATCTTCCTTCCGAGGAGTGGCTGGTGGGTTTGAACTGCCTGCCTTCTGGTTAGCAGTTAAGTGCCTTTAGGCACTAAGCTACCAGAGCTCCTACGGAAACTGAGGCTAGGTGAAAATCAGTTCAAGTCTTCCTTTTTAAAAGTTTTAACTGTTAACTACATTCTGACGAAAGAGACTCCGTAGAGTAAGACTAACCAGTGAGCCGATGGAAGGCCAGGTATTCTTGATTCTTTATTTTAAAATCAAAACATTTTCTAAAAAAAATAGTATGTTCAGTGTAAAGAACCTCATGTTTCAGTTAATGGTGAAAAGGGCTTATTTATTCATTTATTTGACTCTTAATGCAGTAATTTAAGAGTTCTTCTAATTTTATGACTTAAAGCCTTCAATTCAAGGCATGTGCTGAAAGAACCTACCGGTTCTTTCATACAAGGAAACACATTTCTATGTTGTGCAAAGCACAAATTAAATATGTTTGAAAATAGGAAAAAAACATGAGGGATAGAAGAAATGTTAAGTATAGGTTCCTTCTTTCTCAGATTACACATGGACTAAGGTAATAATTTGGATTCAAGATTATTAAAAGTTTAGTCTTCTACAAGATGGATCACAATTTACTTGTGCCACCTGCTGTCTTATTTTAAAACATTCCTGGTTAAACTGATTGTACTATATTCTAACGGTGCTTTTGTTAGCTGCCATCCAACGGGCCCTGAATCATGGCGACCGTATTCAAAACAGGATTAGATAGGTGTGATCCACAGGATTTTCACTGGATAAGTCTCACAGGTAGACCTGCAGGTCTTTCTTCCTAGTTTGGCTTAGTCTGGAAGCTCCAATGAAGCCTGCCCACCATAGGTGACCCTGCTGGTATTTGAAATACTGGTGGTACAGCTTCCAGCATTACAGCAACATGTCTCCACTGACAGACAGGTAGGTGGTGACTGTGCTTGAAGTGCACTGGCGGGAATCAAACCCTGGTCTTCCAGATAGAAGACAAGAAGGCAGGAAATAAATATCTGACAGCTCAATCACCATTGTTCAAAAAAGACTACCCAGTGTCATTCAGTCAATTCTGATTCATAGGGCCCCTTCAGGACAGAGTAGAACTACCCGATAGGGTTTCCAAGGCCAAGGCTGGCGGTTCAAACCCACCAGCCACTCCTCGGAAGGAAGATGGGGCAATCTACTTCCGTAGTGATACTGCCTCGGCAACCCAAGGAGGGGTCGCTATGAGTCAGGTTTGACTTGACGGCACATAACAACAACAACAACAAATCTTTACAGAAGCAGAATGCCTCATCATTCTTCTGTGGAGCAGCTGATCTTTTGATTAGCAGCCAAATGCTTTAACCACTATGCCACCAGAGTTCCTTCAAAAAGGACTAGAAAGGTAGAAAGCACTCTAGTAGTCAACCTTTTGTGGTATGTGTTGCAGGAGTGGTGGTGAAGTAACAAAAGTATTTTAGTAATGAGTTGAAAACATTTTTCATTGTTGACTCAAAATTATTTTTTTATTCTGGTTATTATTTTCTATTAGGTCCCTGACTTACTTCATTTCAGATATCCTAATTTAAAGTTCCTTGGCGTTATTTGGAATGAACAAAAATCAAACAAATGCAAGCTTAATTAGTCTTCTCTGCATTTATCACAATGCATGTCTTAGTGTTTTAGTGCTGCTGTAACAGAAATATCACAAAGGAGTGGCATTAGTGAACAAAAATGTATTTTCCCACAGCTTGAAGTCTAGAAGTTCAAATTCAGGGTACTGACTCTGTAGGGTAGGTGCTCTGGAGGTGCAGTGGTTAAAGCATTCAGCTGCTAACCAAAAGGTCCGCAGTTTGAAACCGTTAGCCACTCTGCAGAAGCAAGATGAGGCTGCCTGCTTCCGAGAAGACTTACAGCCTTGGAAACCCTATGGGGCAGTTCTACTTTGTCCTATAGTGTCGCTGTGAGTTGGAATTGACTTGATGGCAGTGGGATTAGCCTAGCGGAAGGCTCTTTATCAGCTCTGGGGAGATATCCTTGTCTCAGTTTCTCTAGCCCCGGCATCTATCTATCTATCTATCTATCCCCATTTTTGCTTGCTTGTCAGTGTCTAATTAGCTCTTTGAGTATCTCCAAAGTCATTAGTTTTAAGACACACCCTACACTGATGTGACCTCATTAATGTACAAAGAAAACTTATTGCCAAATAGGATTCCATCCATTTTGTATAGGAGTTCAGATTCCAACATACATAAGTGGTGGGCACAATTAACTCCCTAACAATTGATTCCTCTTTAAATTTTTTCTCAGTGTTTTGGTTCTCTTGTGCTGCTCTAACAGAAATACCACAAATGGTTGGCTTGAACAAACAGGGATTTATTCTCTTATGGTTTGGGATGCTAGAAGTCTGAGTTCAAGGTGCTAGTTCTAGGGGCTGAATGAAGGCCCCTTGATCTTGGGCTTCATTCAGCTGTGCCTCTTGCTCCCAGTCCACTGAAGCTGGAGGTGTCTCTTAGTTCAGGCCTACTAGCTACTGTGACTGACAGATTGAAGGTTAATAAATAAAATGGCACAGTCCCAAGATTATTAAGCAACATAGCAGGCCACCAGTTCAAGTCCAGAAATAGTCCCAAGATTGGCAGGCAACATGGCAGGCTACTTGGCTAAATGCAGGATCCAAGCTTGCTGAAAAGCTTGAGACTTTTCTCAAAGCTGCTGCTTCTATGCTGGAAGCAGACCACATCCCTAAGGCAGCCACTTAGCTGCTCACAGGATGGAGTTGGTTACCCGTCTCATCATAGGGAATAACTATACTCAGCTACCCAGCCACTCAAGACCAGGCCCAGCCAAGCTGATACACAACAATAACTACCACACTCAGTGACTTTTTTTTTTTTTTGTCCTCTTCTGCACCTCCCTCCTTTACAGATCCCTAGTTTTGAATTTGACATGCCAAGTGCTATCTTTGCTGGATGTCTTTTGGCACCTCAATGCCGTGTGTTTGAAGCTCCTTTCAAGCATGCTTTTCTACTTTGGGAGGTTTTATTTCAGCAACAAATCATCCCAGCTCAAAAACCTCACCCAGCACTGCCTACTCTCCTTCTTGCGGGATTTTCCCAAATGACTAAGGTTTCAATCCCCATAATCTCATTTTCCCTCTTTTCTTTTCCTAATGCTATTCTACTTGTTCAAACCTCTATTTGGCTGGCTTACGGGACTGGCCTTCAAAATGGGATTTACTGGTTCTAGCTTTTTCCAATGTGTTAAAGTACGGAACTGATGATGTTTTCTGGTCAGAATCTTTTAGTGACTCTGACTTGTCTGTGCAGTTTTGCCAGTCTGGCACCTAAAGTTCTCCATGTTTTGGCTCTAAACTATATACTGGCAAAACAAACTAGTCACTATTCCTTATGCTTTATAAATCCATTCTTTTCTTTAAGCTTTTCCTTCTGCTTAGAATCTAGAAGGTCATTTCCAATTTCTACCTCAAGGTTCACCTCAAATGCTTTCCTCTCAAATGAGTATTTCCCCCCTTCTAAACAACTGGAGCAATTATTAGTATCTTTCTTATGCCACTTATCATTCCTCAACATGTACTGCAGTTACTTAAGTGGGTCACCTTGACGAACATCTTAATGATAGCCTCCATTTATACTTTATTTTCATGTTGCTCTTAATGCCCAGCACATGGTGCCTTGTACAGGGTACGTACTCAGGAAATAATCTGAGTGTATGCACGAATGAAGCTGGAGAAGCATATTGGTAATTGGCTACAGCAATTCAATCATCCAGGGATCCTGGGCTTGTGAGTTCAAATCCAGCAGTCTTGCTTCTCTTTTTCAGTTTCTGCAGAAGAGATGTCCGAATTCTTTCCAAAAGAGTGCATTGATACCTATCTCCTAACTGCCAAGCCAAAAATAAAGTTACAGATATTATAGAATTAAACCTAACCAGAATACCTACATCTAGACCAATAGTAGGTTTACCGTATTCTGCATTGCCTGAAGCAATGACTATCACATTGTGTGTGTGTGTGTGTGTGTGGGGAAAGGTAGATACTCAGAGAAAGGAACTAGAATTACTAGAGGTCTAGAAATATTCATCCATCCATCCAACACATATTTTTTTTTTTATTGTGATTTTATTGTGATTTCGGTGAAGGTTTACAGAGCAAATTCACTTTCCATACAGCAGTTCATATACACTTTGTCCCATGACATTGACCAATTTACCACAATGCAACAGCTCCCCTCCCATTTCCTCCCAGTTACCTCTTCCCAGTGTCCATCACT